GGCGTGGCCCTGCCCGACGCACTAAATCGGAGCCCCGCCCACGGCGCGTGGGGGGCGGGGCCCTGACCGGAAGTGTGCCGGGGGTGGGGGGGGGGCCAGGCACCAAGGGAGGGAAGCAGGAGTTCCTTATCCCTGCTTGCTCACCGAAGTCACTGGGGGGATTTTCTACTTCCTGTCTCTGCAAGTCTGGGGGCTCTGCAGTGTTGTAAGTCCTGGTCCCCGTGGGGCGCGCCCCGTTGACGGGGGACCCGACACAGGTCCCCACAAGCTGTGCCCGGTTACTCCGGACACCTGCGCCCAGACTAGTGGGGGAGACGGAGAGTCACCATCCTCCCGGGGTGATTGGCCTGGTCCGTGGATGGAGACACGGGTGCTTGCATGCGTTGGGGGCAGGGGGGAATATGTGCGAAGCCCAGGCGCCCACTTGGGGGGCCTCCTGGCACTTCCCTGCCCCCTGAAGCTGTGAACGCACACGTGCGGTAAAGCGGGCCTGAGAAGGGTGTGATTTGCCAGGAGTTCACATCTCTTAGGAGTGACGGTTTGGGCCAGGTCAGCAGAGGCCTTACTTTGACTTATTTTTTTTTAATTTTTAAATTTTTAAAAATTTATTTCTGAGAGAGAGAGAGAGAGAGAGAGAGAGAGAGACAGCGTGAGCAGGGGAGGGTCAGAGAGAGAGAGGGAGACACAGAATCTGAAACAGGCTCCAGGCTCTGAGCTGGCTGTCAGCACAGAGCCCGAGGGGGGACTTGAACCCATAAACCGTGAGATCATGACCTGAGCCAAAGTCAGATGCTTAACCAACTGAGCCACCCAGGCGCCCCTTAGTTTGACTTCTTTTTTGTTTTCTTTTTAGAGACAGAGAAAATGGGAGGGGCAGAGGAAGAGAGAGAGAGAAAGAAAGAGAGAGTCTTAAGCAGGCTCCACACTTAGTTCGGAGGCTGATGTGGGCCTCTATCCTCTGACCCTGGGATCATGACTTGAGCTGAAATCAAGAGTTGGATGCTCAACCGCCTGAGCCACCTAGGGGCCCCATCAAAGCCTTGGTGTGAACCACGAACTTCCCTCAGAGAGTAAGACCCATGGGAGTCACGGTGGGCTGCTCCCCATACCAACCTGGAGAAGTCCAAGTGTCAGCCATGACAGTGACCTCAGGGTCGTGCCGCAAGGGAGCTCACCTGACTGCCTGCCTGCTGCGCCACTCACCACTACTCTCTTTCTTCTATCTTTTTATTTTTTTAATTTTTTAATTTAAAAAAAATTTTTTTTATTTATTTCTAGGAGAGAGAGAGAGACAGCGTGAGCAGGGGAGGGTCAGAGAGAGAGGGAGTCACAGACTCTGAAACAGGCTCCAGGCTCTGAGCCGGCAGTCAGCACAGAGCCCGACGCGGGGCTCGAACCCACGAACCGCGAGATCATGACCTAAGCGAAAGTTGGATGCTTAACCGACTAAGCCACCCAGGCGCCCCTCTTCTATCTTTTTAAATATTTATTTAGTGTTGGGGCGCCTGGGTGGCTTAGTCGGTTAAGCGTCCGACTTTCCGACTTTCGCTTAGGTCATGATCTTGCGGTTTGTGGGTTCGAGCCCCGCGTCGGGCTCTGTGCTGACTGCCAGCTCGGAGCCTGGAGCCTGTTTCAGTCTGTGACTCCCTGTCTCTCTGACCCTCCCCTGCTCACGCTGTCTCTCTCTCCTAGAAATAAATAAACTATTAAAAAAATAAAATAAAATAAATATTTATTTAGTGTGAGGGGAGCAGAGAGAGAGGGAGACAGAGAATCAAAAGTGGGCTCTGTGCTGACAGCAGAGAGCCCAGTGCAGGGCTCGAACTCACAAACTGTGAGATCGTGACCTGAGCCGAAGTTGGATGCTTAACTGACTGAGCCACGCAGGTGCCCTCACCAGTACTTTTACACTGAGACCAAGCTTCCTGTGGCTGCTTCCAGCCAGGCCTGAGCATGGTAAGGGAAATCGTGCCCTGGGCCCATTTCTACAAGATACAGGATTCCTGATGGGCAACTTTGGCTCGAGAACTCTCCATCAGGGGCACCTGGGTGGCTCAGTCGGTTGGGCGTCGGACTTTGGCTCAGGTCACAATCTCATGGTTCATGAATTTGAGCCCTGCATCAGGCTCTGTGCTGACAGCTCTGAGCCTGGAGCCTGGGGGCTTCTGTGTCTCTCCCTCTCTCTGCCCTGCCCCCCACAGCTCTCTCTCAAAGATGAATAAACATTTATTTAAAAAAAAAAAAGAGAGAGAGAGAACTCCCCATCAGACCGGCCAAACCTTTCTGGAACTTGCACTTCAAGCAGGCTGAAGTCCTTCCTAGCCTGACTGCCCTTCCCTACCCTCTCCTGGTTCCTCCTCTTCCTCTGGCTTCTGCCCTTTATCCTTCACCAGTATGATGCCCCAGAACCGGTACTGGTCTAATTCCATCATGGCGACTGCTTCTGGGAAGACCCCCAGCTAACACTGAAATTTCTCTGCGACCCCTGCCCCACTTCTTTTAGTCTATGTCTCTCTAGCGTGCTTTTTCCTTGAAAGCACTTTCACAGTTGGAATTGCTTCGTTTATTAATTGTTGCTCTGTGTCCTCCACCAGATTGTCAACTTTGTTAGGGCAGGAACTCATCCAAAAGGAACTCACTTTTATCCCTGGTGCCCGACACAGAGCCCAGCGCGCGGTGGGGACGCGGTCCCTAGGTGTTGACTGGGATTGCTTCCTCTGCCTCTCCAGGCCCTTAATGATGCAGACACCACTGTCAGGATGTTCTGGGGGGCCTGTGGCTGCTGGTGTTGCAAGTGGGAACAAGAAGTGTGGTGGAGAGACGTCAGTGATTTGCAAAACAAGACATCGACCCTTCCCGACACCGTGAGCCTGTGAGCCTTAGAATTGCAAGCAGGCAGGATGCTCCGGAAATCAGAGCGAAGCCACTTTGAAAAGTTCTGAAGAGGTGATGGGGACGTGGCCCTTCTCGTAGCACGGAGGGAAAGCAGGAGCTCAGAGGTGCTCGTCTTCAAAGGGAATCTTCACTGAGAAGGAGCAGCCTTGGCCCTAAATCAAATCAGCTTTTTCATGTCCGCCAGCAAACAAGGCTTCAGGGTGATGTGCAGAGATCTAAGTCAGGGGAAGAGGAGGGAGGAGCATCTTTGCATTGGAATCTTCTGATGTGGGTCAGGCGCCTCAGCGGGGCCTCTGGGTCAGCTCCCCCCAGGCTCTGTTTCAAGTTGAAGAAGAAATGAAAGCATCTGGAGTTTGTGGATGGTCTAGCGGGTCAATGGTTCCTGGCTAAGGGTTTGCTGTTCCTTCCTGTTCTTGTTAGTTTTGCCTTCTTTGGGATTTCTTTCATTTTGGACTGCACTGCTCTAGAAAGGGCTTATTTAGTCAGTAGTTCTCAGGAAGGTCTCAGGAAGAAGTTTTTGGTGGCTGTGAAGAGACAGTACTGCACGGTGGTTTACCACGACCTTGGGGCTCTGTATCAGTCAGGAGAGATGAGGCCGTGTCGCAGTAACAAACACACCCAAATTTCATTCATGTTGCATGTCTGTTTTAGCTTGGGCTGGTGTAGCAAAATATCATAGGTTAGGTGGCTTAAACAACAGACATTCATTTCTCTCTGGAGGCCTCCTCCTCATGACCTCATCTAAATTTAACCACCTCCCGGGGCGCCTGGGTGGCTTAGTCGGTTAAGCATCCGACTTTCGCTTAGGTCATGATCTCGCGGTTCGTGGGTTCGAGCCCCGCATCGGGCTCTGTGCTGACTGCCAGCTCAGAGCCTGGAGCCTGTTTCAGTCTGTGACTCCCTCTCTCTCTGACCCTCCCCTGCTCACGCTGTCTCTCTCTCTCCTAGAAATAAATAAAACATTTAAAAAAAAAAAAAATTTAACCACCTCCCAAAGGCTCTACCTCCAAATGCCATCACACTCATGGCTAGAGAACCTACAAATATATTTTGGGCCTACTGGGGCACTGCCATTCGGTGTGGCAGAGGGAAGGGCACGTGATGAATCAAGCACGGTCTCTGCCTCTTCTGCTCACATTTCCTTAATCAAAGGAAGTTACATGTTCATGTGTAACTTCAAACAAGGGTATGGGAAGTACAACCTGGCTTTGCACTCAGAAGGAAAGAGCTATGTTATTGGTAACAGCTCCAATGGTCACCAGAGTGTGACAGGCTAGGTGTTGGGAAAGTTTTTTTTTTTAAATTAATTGATTTGTTTTCGAGAGACAGAGCATGAGTGGGGGAGGAGCAGACAGAAAGGGAGACACAGATTCGGAAGCAGGGATCCAGGCTTTGAGCCGTCAGCACAGAGCCCAGCACAGGACTTGAATCGCGAGATCATGACCTGTGGGGAAGTCAGATGCTTGACCGACTGTCAAGGTATTTTTAAGATATGACCAATGTTTAAATCAGCACACTTTTTTTTTAATGTTTATTTTATTTCTAGGAGAGAGAGAGACAGCGTGAGCAGGGGAGGGTCAGAGAGAGAGGGAGTCACAGACTGAAACAGGCTCCAGGCTCTGAGCTGGCAGCACAGAGCCCGACGCGGAGCTTGAACCCACGAACCGTGAGATCATGACCTAAGCGAAAGTTGGACGCTTAACCGACTAAGCCACCCAGGCGCCCCTAAATCAGCACACTTTGAATGAAGCAGATCACCCTGGATTATGTGGGTGGGCCTCACCCAATCAGTTGAAAGCCTTAACCAGAAAGACTGAGGTTTCCCAAGGAAAGAATTTGGCTTCAAAACTGCAACCTAAGAGCTCTGCTTGGGTTTTCAGACTTCCTGGCTTGCCGCCTGGATTTTGGACTCAAGACAGCATCACCAAGTCTTTAGTGGATTTTCAGTTTGCTCATCTGTCCTACGGACTTTGGACTTGTCAGCCCTCACAGCTATAAGCTGATTCCTTACAATCTCTCTCCTCTCTCTCTCTCTCTCTCTCTAGGCTTTTCTTGTTTCAAGCCTGTCACTTCCGGGACTGGGATTTACACCAACACTATGGATCCTTTTGGGTCACTGGCTTGACAGCTGCAGATCTTAGGACTTCTCAGCCTTGATAATTGTGAGTCAGTTCTTATAATAAGTCTCTCTCTCTCTCTCTATATATATATATATATATTTGTGTGTATGTGTGTGTGTAAAGTTTACACACACACATACACACACACACACACATCCTGTTGGTTGCGTTTCTCTGGAGAACCTGACTAGTTCAGGCCTGGATTTCTCTCTCCAAGTGAAAATTCTACTAAAGCCTTTGGAAGAAATGGTGTACTTTTGGTTTGGAGTTAAGAGCTAAAGGTCAAGGGGCACCTGGGTGGCTCAGTCGGTTAAGCGTCTGACTCAGGCTCAAGTCATGATCTCACGGCTCGTGAGTTCAAGCCCTGTATTGGGCTCTGTGCTGACAGCTCAGAGCCTGGACCCTGCTTCTGATTCTGTGTGTGTGTGTGTCTCTCTCTCTCTGTCCCTTCCCCTTCTTACACTCTGTCTCTCTCTCTCAAAAGTAAATAAACATTAAAAAAAAAAGAGCTAAAGTTTAAAGTGTGCTGCTGTGAAAACTCAATCTTAGTTTAGTAATGTAGGGAGAAGAATCTTCTGGTTGGATGGAATTCTCCTTACAGAGCGTGCTAATGGCTTTGCAAGTTCGAGGGGGCGTCTCTGCTTTTTCGGAGCTGTAAGGAGGTACAGAAGCTTGGGCTTGACTTGGTGGGGGTTGGTTTTCCTCTTTTTTTTTTCTCCTGTGTAGAGTGACGTCAGACCCAGTGGTCTTTTGGTGATGTTATTACATAAACAAACTCTATCGTGAAACTTAAAAAAAAAAATCCTTATTTTAAATGTTGTTCCTCTAAGTCCCCGCATCACAGTCTTTGAGACCTGGGAGGAATCGTGAGCTAATCTGGCCTCGTTTTTCTCAAATTGAGTTCCATGAAACATATTCCTCAATGTTCATAGGTGGTCCTTGAAAAAAGGGGATCCGTGACCAGGTGGGTTTGGTAAAGGCAGCGTACACTCTCCCGCTTCCAGAAAATCCAAATGCGCTTCAATAAAGCTTGAGGTGCTTCATATGCTTGGAAGTAGAGACATCAAGTAGGCTGTTGGTAGGTGGGTCTGGATTTCAGGGGCAAGGCTGGAGTTGCGTTTGTAGGTTTGGAAGTTAACACATTTAAAACCATGGAAACAGGGGCTCCTGGGGGACTCGGTCAGTTAAGCGTCCAACTCTTGGTTTCAGCTCAGGTCATGATTTCGTGGGTGGTGAGTTTGAGCCCTACATTGGGCTCTGTGCTGACAATGCAGAGCCTGCTCGATTCTCCCTCTCCTCTCCCTCTCTCAAAAATAAATAAATAAACATTAAGAAAAAAACCCACAGAAGCAGATGAGATGACCGTGGAGAGGGTTTGGAAGGAACGGGAGCATGTGAGGTCTGGAGGTGCTGTCACTTTCTTGTGACCGTGAGGCGAGGGCCTGCGAATGGAGGCAAGACCCAGAGGATGGCATTGCCGAGCCAAGTGACCGGGAGAAACCAGATACTAAGGCAAAACTCAAGCTACCAAAGCCGATTCTACTTCTGGATTTCAATTCCCTTTTAAGTTTTTATGTCGTTTCTTTAAATGAGTCCTGACTAGTATGACATCTCCCAACCTCTTTTGCACACTTAGCTCTGTTTCCTCCTCGTCTGTGTTTCCCCATCTCCTTCCCGGTCATGCAGGTGAACCAGCTGACCTTGAGGTGTCAGCATTAACTAGTCACTCCTGTCTTGAAGAGCCTCCCCCAAGTCAGTGTCTGTTGTCATTTCAGACATGAATGGAGAAATCAGCTATTAATCTGTTAATGTCGTTAAAGATTTTATATTTATTTTTAGGTTGCTGGCAACCAACCCAAACTGACTCTGGCTAACCTAAGCCCAAAGGGGAGTTTATTGAAAGGGTCACAGGCTTCCCCCACAGGACTGAAGACAGGGCGGGATGTGGACAGCAGCCTTGGGGAAGGGGAGCGAGGGGAGCTGTCCTGGGGAGCCTCAGCAGGCTTGTATCAAAACCCTTTCCGGGCTGACCACCGACGTGGTGCTCTCTCTGTCCAAGCTTGGAATGGCTGGGAGAGAGAATTATATTTTCAGGACAAAGGCGTGAGGCAAGGTGAGCCCCTTGGGCCTGGTTCCTAGGAGGCCACCCTGTATGTCAGAGAGGCCTGGTGGCCTGCCAGGAAGGGTCCGCCAGACCCCAGTCTTCTCCGAGCTGCGCAAGGCTCGCAGGTCATTAAGAACAACCTCTGCAGGTGTTCCCTGCTCATAATGCCCAGCGAGGGCTGGGAGATGCTTCCCATGGTGCTTTGGGCTTTCAGGACTCACATCGGCCCAGACGCTGCCGGTCAGGGGTCTCTCTGACATCATTAACTGTTACCCCTTTGCCCTTGGTCCATGCTGTTCGTGCCTTTTGCTCTACTTTCTTTCCTCTTCCAAAAGCCCCTCCTTCTACAGACTGAAAGTTTGTGTCCCCTCCACCCCCCATTCATGTTGAAACCTAACCCCCAATGTGAAGGTGTTGGCAGGTGGGGGTCTTTGGGAGGTGATTCGCTCATGAAGCTGGAGCTCTCGTGAAGGGGATTAGTGTCCTTACAGTTTTTTTTTTTTTTAAGTTTATTTGTTTTGAGAGAGAGAGAGAACGAGGGAGAGGCAGAGAGAGGGGGAGAGAGAGAGAATTCCAAGCAGGCTCTGCACTGCCAGCACAGAGCCCGACATGGGTCTTGAACTCATGAACTGTGAGATCATGACCTAAGCTGAAACCAAGAGTCAGATGCTTAATGGACTGAGCCACCCAGGAGCCCTGGATTAGTGTCTGTATAAAAGAGACTGTAGAGAGATCTCTTGCTTCTTCTGCCCTGGAGGATTATGGCGGAAAAGGTAGCTGTCACCACCTCCCGACAACCCTCTTACCAATTTAGCTTTTCCCTTAGGCTTCCCTATTTCTGTGTGAATTCTGGGATTCTCCCTGGGTTCAGGAAGTGGGCTCTCACCAGACGCCGAATCTGTGAGAAATGTATTTCTGTTTTTTTTTTTTTTGTAACAGAACTATATTCTGTAGTGTTTTGTACACAGCGCCTGAATGAACTAAGACACCATCCTTAAAACAATGATTCTTTTTTTAATTAAATTTTTTTTTTTAAAATGTTCATTTATTTTTTTAGAGAGAGAGAGACAGAGTGAGAGTAGGGGAGAGACAGAGAGAGAGGGAGGCATAGATTCCGAAGCAGGCTCCAGTCACTGAGCCTGATGTAGGGCTGGAATCCACGAACCGTGAGATCACGACCTGAGCTGAAGTTGGACACTTAACCAACTATGCCATGCAAGCGCCCCTTTTTAAAATTTCTTTTAACATTTATTCATTTTTGAGAGACAGAGCACAAGTGGGGGTGGGGCAGAGAGAGAGGGAGACACAGAATCCGAAGGGGGCTTCAGGCTCTGAGCTGTCAGCACAGAGCCCAACACGGGGCTTGAACCCACGAACCGTGAGATCATGACCTGAGCCAAAGTTGGAGGCTCAACCAACTGAGCCACCCAGGCGCCCGTTAAAAAAATGATTCTTATTTAAAGCATGATTCTTCCAAAAGAAATGATTCAAACAGTACCAACGATTTTTCAATGAGAACGAAGTCTTTTTTCCACCCTACACTTCTTGTCTCTTGCCAGAGGCAGTAATTACGATCAATTTTCTGGGTATCTTTCCAGATGGAGCGTGTGTCTATACCTCTATCTACCTACTATTTTATTCTGTACACCTGCTATCAGCAGAACAGAGCACACACCTGCTCGCTACGTTGCATTTCCCACTCAATGATGTATTGTTCGTATCAGAACACATTCAGCGTGTTCTTTGGGAGGGCTGCGTAGTATTTGACTGTGAGGTCCCTGCTGACGGACAAGCTTTTGTGGACACGAATGGTGTGGCGGCGCATATCCTTCTGCACCCGACGCCAAGCCCACGAGCAAGCACGTCTGTTAGAGGCACTCATGCTTTCCTTCCCTTGAGTTATCACAGCTTTGCTCTTCCCCAGGCATCACCCGCGTAGACTGCTTCTCTTTCTCTCTGTCCCTTGAAGACTTACAATATGGCTTCTGCCCAAGGACACAGCCAGAGGACACCAGGGACCTCTGTCCTTGGTGCATCGCCTCTGACTATTCTGTAGAATTTGACCTCACTTCCCATCCCGACCTGAAACTCTCCTCCCTTGGCTGCTTTGGGGATGATCTTTGTCCCCCCAGCTTCTCCACGACCTTTGTCCGCCTTGCTGTGTGGCAGGATCTGGATGGACTGGAAGCTGCTGGGTCAGTGCTTGGCCCACCCAGGCAGTCCCACCTGTTTGCCACACCGCCCGAACCCCACAGGACCGTGCGCTTTCCATCAGTACCTGAATTCACACTCTCTTTTAGGCTCGAACCCTTCATTAAAAAGAAAAAAAAAAGTGTTGTTTTTAATTCCTGCATTTGATGTTGTTATCGCTATTTTATTTTATTTTGATTTTTTAAAATGTTTATTTATTTTTGAGAGCAAGAGAGAGACAGAGAGTGAGTGGAGGAGGGGCAGAGTGAGAGGGAGACACAGAATCTGAGGCAGGTGCCAGGCTCCGAGCTGTCAGCACAGAGCCTGACCGGGGCTTGAACTCACAAACCATGAGATCATGACCTGAGCCGAAGTCGGACGCTTAACTGACTGAGCCACCCAGGCGCCCCTATTATCACTATTTTATTACTTATTACGTGCCATTTAAAACACATGAAAAGGTGTCAAGAATAACAAAGAATAAAGGGCACCTGGGTGGCTCCATGGACTAAGCATCCCACTCTTGCTTTCAGCTCAGGTCATGATCTTACAGTTTCATGGGTTCAAGTCCCACATGGGGTGGGAATGTGGGTGATTTCTGGCAGCTCGGAGCCTGCTTGAGATCCCCTCTCGTTTCCTCTCTCTCTCTGCCCCTCCCGCATTCGTTCTCTCTCTCTCTCTCTTTCTAATGTTTTTTATTTATTTTTGAGAGAGAGAGACAGCATGAGCATGGAAGGGTCAGAGAGAGGGGAAGATACAGAATCCGAAGACAGGCTCCAGGCTCTGAGCTAGCTGTCAGCACAGAGCCCGATGTGGGGCTCGAACCCACGAACTGAGAGATTATGACCTGAGCCGAAGTCAGATGCTTAACTGACTCAGCCACCTAGGTGCCCCTCTCTATCTCTCTCAAAATAAACAAATAAACTTAAAAAAAAAAAAAAGAGTAACAGGGGTGCCTGGGTTGCTCAGTTGGTTAAGTGTCAGACTTCGGTTCAGGTCATGATCTCATGGTTCATAGGTTCAAGCCCTGCGTCGGGCTCTGTGCTGACAGCTCAGAGCCTGGAGCCTGCTTCCGAGTTTGTGTCTCCCTATCTCTCTCTGCTGTTCCCCTGCTCACACTCTGTCTCACAAATAAATAAACATTAAAAAAATTTTATTAAAAAAAGTTAAAGAAAGAATAACAAGTCATACATCAAAAGAACACAGCAGATATCAATGTATCCACCATTCAGCTTAATAAAAATGTGAGTCTCTTTTGTACCTTTCCTGTACCCCAGAGATAATTCCTATACTGAATTTGGAGTTTATTATCTTCTTGCATTTTAATTGAGTCCTAAATTTCTGACTGACCTCTCTGGATATCTCTACACAAGTATCCTCCTCAGTACTGTTAAAAGCAAATGAAAATGCATTTATAGAAAGAGGAGAATGTGCTCTATCTATCGTCGATTTTCAGAAATCCTTCCAGAAAGATCTATATCAGTGGTTGATCCAACAACAGAGCAGCAGGCCTGTTTGCAACCTCTCTGGTATATCAAAGTGTTAATTATTTCCGGATGCTAAGACATGGATAACTGTTCTCTCATTTGTATTTCCTAAGCTTTCTTTTTTTTTTTTTTAATATTTTTATTTATTTCTAGGAGAGAGAGACAGTGTGAGCAGGGGAGGGTCAGAGAGAGAGAGGGAGACACAGACTCTGAAATAGGCTCCAGGCTCTGAGCTGGCAGTCAGCACAGAGCCCGACGCGGGGCTCGAACCCACGAACCGCGAGATCATGACCTAAGCGAAAGTCGGACCCTTAACCGACTAAGCCACCCAGGCGCCCCTCCTAAGCTTTCAACAGTGGAGCATGGACTATGTTACTAGTACTGCTATTGCTACTCCTTTTTCGTTTTTTGTTTTACATTTATTTATTTTTGAGAGAGAGAGTGAGACAGAGCGCACGTGGGGAGGGGCAGAGAGAGAAGGAGACACAGAATCCAAAGCAGGCTCCAGGCTCTGAGCAAGTGTTCAGCACAGAGCCCAACGCGGGGTGGAACCCATAAACCATGAGATCATGACCTGAGCTGAAGTCGGACACTTAACCGACTGAGCCATCCAGATGCCTGATGCTATTGCTACTTCTAATACCCCAAACCGATATTCCCCTCAACCCTCTTCCCAACTTCGCTTTGACCCTAGATGTCCCTATTTCTGTTGGAATTCTGGAATTCTTCATGGGTTGGAAATGTGCTCTTTTTCCCTTTTCCACATTCCACCAGTTCTACTGCACTTTGTGGTTGAGTGGATTTCTATCTCCCCTGTTAGAATTAAAGTTCTTAAGGGGCACAGACCTTACCTCATCCATCTCCCTGGGGCCTATCACACAGCACAGCTCTTCAACAGATGGCCCAGAAACGGTTATCAAATCTTTCTGCCTGATGCCTTGGGCTTGCCTACATCTTGCAACTGTCACCTGGTTTATTTATAGAACGTTTCTCTAAAAATAAGCAGTTTCTGTTTCAGGTATGGGTTGTCCTTGATATTTCCACTCTATCTCTTGCCCACCCCCAAGTCTCAAACTTAGAAACCGGAATTGGAGCTGGTATTCAAATCCTTCCCCACAGTACAAGGAGATAGATAGTCCCTGTAAGAACTAAGTCATAGTTGTGAAGTTCTTTTTCACCCTGGACATTCTAGCTGCTGCCATTGCATGTGCAGGAGAATTTTTGAAGAGATTTTATTTGTCCTTCCATGCTGTTCTTCCTGAGGGTTCCTTGTTTCTTTTTGTGATCAAGATGCAGATGGCTCAACAGTGCTTCCAAAATGAATATTTTGACAGATTGCTTAACTCTTGCAAGCCATGTCACCTTCGATGTTCTAATACCCCTCCCGCAGTATGTCAGCGATATTGTAATGCAAGTAAGTAACGCTTCTTGAACAATGTATTCACTGGTGTGATGTATTTTCTCTACACTGACTATTTACTCAAAGAAGAAACATTACAGGGGAGATGGTGAGATCTTCTGAATCAAAAAGTGAAAGGAAACAAGGCAGGTATTTAAATGCAATGCCTACCGGAGCAAAGCAATTATTCAGAACTGAACTCAATTTTACTCAGCGCTGTTAGCAGCTGACATTTTACCAGCTCTTTCTAATTAAGTGTTTTAGAATTTACAAATCCATGCTGATGAACTGGGGGAATTGGATGGCAAATAGTCTTTGCTTGATGTGACTATTATGTTGTCAGTTCATTATCTCTCTGATATTCTTTTAATTCAGTGAAAGGAACAAATACAATCCTCTGGACCTGTTTGGGCCTGAGCTTGATAGTTTCTTTGACGGTTTTCGTGTTGATGTTCTTGCTAAGGAAGATGAGCTCTGAACCATCAAAGGACGCATTTAAAAACGCAGGTTGGTTTGACGGCCCATCTTTGAAATCTATTTCCAAGAGGTGGCTATTGTGAATTTCAGTTCCTTGTCCTTTTTCATGTTGAGCATTTCGTTTGGTTAGAGCCCTTTTGCGTGTGTTAGAGGACAGATATGTTAAATGAACTTTTGGTGTTTGGATCTTCTTCGAAGTTACCCTATAGTGTCAGCCTCCCCCACATTCTTCCCTTGGTAATTACTCTTTTGAAGTACTGCCCCTTCCTTGGCAAACATCCATCTCTTTGACCAAAGTTAGCACATTGATTAGATGTGCAGAAACTGCTAGCCAGGTTGACTACTATCAGGAAAAATGTATTTGGCACGATCCATGGCCATGTTTTTAATACAAATGTAAGTGCTTTTTACTTGGGTAAACATTTTACTGCCAAAACAATGCAAGAAATAAATAATGATCAGTTGTTCTTGGATTATTTGAGTAGTCATTTCAAAGCTTATTATCTTTCTTAAGCAGCAGAGAACCAGTCTCAGAGAAATGAATGCTCTACTTAAGGGCTTTTTAAGATAAAAATATTTCGGTAGCACTTTTGTTCATGATCTGATTTCCAAGCACGTTGCAGTCATTGGCTTATTTCTTTATGCTCTTATTTTCTATCCATCATCTGTAAAGCATCCACCTCATTTTGCTTCCTAGTGCAGTAAAGAGAGATAGATGGCTGTTCTACATAATTTATTCATTTTTCTTTTCTTTCTTTCCTTTTTTTTCCCCCTCTGCTTCCCTGGGGTCTGAGAGATGGGGAGTGACTTTAAGCATGACATTTTGGGAGATGGAGGCAGGTTATCCTGTGGCAGGTTGGGGAAGTAGTAAAGCCTACCTTCCCAGGCATATAAATGGGGACCTAATAGAGACTCCTTCCTTAGGTGATCATGAAAGATTCATTATAAAAACATTTGATATGTTACCAAATGCTCTGTAAGAGAAGCATCTTTACTTTGAATTCTGAAGTGTCACCCAAAGGCTGATCTTGGTGTGCTAGAACATATGGTAATGTGTCACTTCACATGTGTAAAATAGGGCCGGTACTTGAGTGCCTCCAAGGGCCAGGTGGGTACCCAGTGAGTGCAGTGGGCCAGGTGGAGCCTTTTGGCAGGAGACCAGCCCATGTCCGTCCCAGAGGAGGTGGCCGCTCTTGACTCCAGACATTTGTTTCCATGGAGAAATGTTAGCTCCAAGTTGCCACATTTTGTTGTTACTGTTGTTTTTAAAGAGACCAATTGCCTAGACTTGCAGGACATCTTGATTTTTAAAAAATCTTTTAAGAATTTATTTAAAAATGTTTAATGTTTATTTATTGTTGAGAGGGGGGGAGAGAGAGAGAGAGAGAGGTAGGGGCAGAGAGAGGGAGACACAGAATCTGAAGCAGGCTCCAGGCTCTAAGCTGTTAGCACAGAGACTGACTTGGGGCTCAAACTCCTGGACCTCTAGATCGTGATCTGAGCCAGTCAGATGCTCAACTGACTGAGCCACCCAGGTGCTCCTAAAATTTTTTTTTTAGAAGTTTATTTACTTATTCTGAGAGAGAGTGTGAGCACAAGTGGGGGAGGAACAGAGAGGAGAGAGGGAGAATCCCAAACAGGCTCCACACTGAGCCCCATATGGGGCTTGATCTCACAACCGTGAGTCAGACACTCAACCGACTGAGCTACATGGGTGCCCATTTTTAAAAAATCTCTTGATTTTTAAATGCGGGCCAGTAGAACGTGTAAGCAAACACTTGAAAACTCTGTGTGGCCTAAACAGAGTCTGTCTTCAAACCCACCGTCACCTGTGGTCTGTCAGTTCACGACTTCTAGCACAAACATACTCCCTTGTTCTGTAGCTCTGTCTCCATTGCTTTGCCCCCGAGTGTGTGTTGCAATGACTGTCCCGACCGACGTGTCAACCACGTGAGGAGTTTAGGTTAATGGTTCTGTCTCTGCATCATCAGGATCGGCTCTCCAGAACGAGGCAGAGGCTGACCAGCATGAGAGCTATGAAAGCAGGACTGGCGCGGAAGTACTTCTCTCGAGGGGCCTGGAGTATACGGTCGAAGAATGCACCTGTGAAGACTGTGTCAAGAGCAAATCGAAGGTCGATTCTGACCATTTCTTTCCACTGCCTGCCATGGAGGAAGGTGCAACCATTCTAGTCACCACAAAAACAAATGACTACTGCAATAGCCTGCTAGCTAGTGTCATGGAGATGGAAAAACCCATTTCTACCAGATAACTGGCCATTTCGGCAGGTATTGAGCTGCTTTGAGAATCTTCTGTCAGGTGGTGTGTCAGATCTCTTTAGGATGATTGTACGTATCCGTTGCCGATACAGCTTTTTTGGTCTTGTCATTCTAGAAAATCTTTATGTTAGATATCCTTCCCTACCTCATTGTTGGGAGCTTAGCTGTGTAAATTTCCTTGGTTTCATGATTAAATTCTTGACTCACTGAAAAAAAGCACTGTGGTGCATAGATCCCATAGTCACGCATTTCTCTGGCTAGCCACCTTCTCTCCAAGAGATGTGTATGTATATTTCAGGCCAGATTGGAATTTTCTCTTTATTATTCAGGGAAAGCAAGGTTGTTCTATATACTCCCATAGGTAGGAGAAGCCTAGAGTCAGCTGCAATAATTCAGTGTGCGATGCATGAGGGCAAGGTTCCTGACTTTGTAAGCTTTCAGTTTAATGGAGACATCAGGCATTATTATAATCACATAAATAAATGTGTAACTGCAAATGGTGATAAAGGTATAGTAGTAGCATTTTCAGACCCCAATGCGGGTAGTAATAATTAAAACTTAGCCTAATGTGCCAGGATGGTTCTATATGCTTTACCTGTGCTAACTCATTTAATACACATAGCAAATCACAAAGTTTTCCCACAGATGATGGCAAAAACATTTCACAGATGTTAAGTCAGAGCAACTTCACATAGCCAGTAAATGGAAGAGTCTGGATTTAAAACCAGGCATCACGATCTTTGTTTTCTTTTCACAATAGTTTGAGTCCATTTGAGTTCCCCATCTCTTTAAGCTACAATCTTAGTCATTACTGGGGGGGGTCACCTTCCTGGGGTTGTGTAAAGGTCCTGGGGTGTTATGGAAAGGTTATACAACAGGTGATGTCCTCTGGTAATGTTGACTTTGATCATTAGGATGCTCGCTGGTACCACAGCATAGATATCTTGGAGCTTTGTGGCTTTTGTGTCAGGCTTGTGATATGGGGAAACTGAGTGGGCCCTTTTTTACGCATTTGGGGCCCATAATGGTTCCATTCCACGCTCTGGAGGGCCACAGGAGACAATATGGTATAGCGGTTAAGGCACTGGCACTTGGAGCCAGACTGCCTGGGTTTGAATCCTGGCTCTGTTACTAAAAGTTATAAATGTTGGGTGACTGTGAGAAAGTGACTTAAACACTTGTGCCTCAGTTTCCCCATCTGTAAAATGAAAATAATAAGAGCATCTACTTATAAGGTTGTCTTAAGGATGAAATGAAAACACACGGACACATCCATTTGCATACAAACATGTGTTACGTATGTTTTTCCCATGAAAGTTATCTGGTTCACAATACTTGAGTCGGTTACGCTGCTGTAATGACTTTTATTAATCCCTCTGAGCTGTAGTGTCTCTGAGAGCAGGCATGCACTCCACCCTGCCATTCGGCTGTTACAGGGGCAGTATACGGAACACTGCTCCTTGCTCCTCACGGCCCTCTTCCTTCTCCCCTCCGCCCCAGTACTATCTCTTCAATGGGTTTTTCAAGGCCAAGAAGAGCGGTAGACTTTAGACTTTTTGGCTTTTCTCTGGGTTTCCGTCTTTATAATTAGCATTTTCAACTACCGCAGGAGATTCCTTGTGACGTGGGCCACGATCTGCTTAGCTCTTTTTCCGTAGTTGGGCCTTGGTGGTTTCCGCTCTTATACTATCATATTAGTATTATTTTTTTAAAGTTTATTTTTGAGGCAGACAGAGTGTCAGCAAGAGAGAGAGAAAGAGAGAACGACAAAGAGAATCGCAAGCAGGCTCTGCATGTCAGCGCAGAGCCCGATGAGGAGCTCAAACTCACAAAACTGTGAGATCATGACCTGAGAGAAACCAAGAGTAGGATGTGTCACCGACTGAGCCACCCAGGCGCCCCCTGCTATCATAAATAACACTGCACCGCAACCTTCACCGAAGAGCCCTTGACCTCTGCTGAACCCAAAAGGTAAATTCCTGGGGTCAGAGGTTTTGTGTTGAGAGGCAGTGGAGTAGGAAGCCCATGGGGCTGTGGCTTACACACACAACTGGGCTGGAATTCTGGCTCCATTTCCCTGTGAGGTTTGGTCCTCAATTCAGTGTTCTCAACTCGGGGTCAAGATTTATCGGTGGATCAATCAACTGTCTCAGTCGCATTAAAAAAAAAAAGAAAGAAAAATAGGAAGGAATACATTACCAACAGAACTGTTTTTCTTTAAACGTCTCCTTTAACCACGCATGCGTGTACTGGGTTGTGATGTAAGGTGTTATTTTTTTACTCCCAGTGGAGGGCAAGACAATGTGGAAAAACGCCCTTTTAACCTTGGTGGGTCCCCTTTCCCCAGTGTGTAAAATGGGGCAGTAACCTGGGCTTTACATTATGCACACGTGATGGCACATACTTCACACACCTTCAAGTCCAACGCCGGCACCCCAGCCCCAGGCATACGCTTTCTTGCTGGGCCACTGATTGAAACAGCTCCCTAACCAGCTGCCTCTTCCCCACCCTGCTCCACAGCAATTCATTCTCAACCCAGGAAGAGCAATTGTCTTGGCCCCTAATTCAGATCGTCACTCCTCTGCGTAAACTCTTGCAGTGGCTTCCGGTTCCCTTATCTACTTAAAAGTTACACAGAAGAGTCCAGGGCCCTCACCGCCGCCTGCAAGGCCCTCCACCTAGTTCTCTCTCCTCTCTCTGAACGCTCTTTTCTCACTCACCCTCTGTCTCCAGTCAACCCCTCAAGTCAGGGCCTTCGCATGTGCTGTTCCTTCTGGAACACCTTTCCTGTGCCCGTCTTCCCGGGCCGTCTCCCAGCCACCATCCAGGTCTCGGCTCAAAGGTCGTCGCCTTAGGGGCGCCCTCCGGGGGGCTGTCCACCTCCCGCGTTCCCGCGCTTTGGCCCGTTACCCTTTTTTATTTCCCTTCTCAGTTCCTATTACTCTCTGGAACGGTGTTGGCCCGTTTCTCGTGGCCTGTTCACTGTCTCCCGGTCGAGCTGTGGGCCCAGGAGGGGAGCGTCGCGTCGCGCCCCGCCGCAGTCGGGCAGGCCCGGGCACTCTCGCACCCCCGTGGCCCGGCGGGCGCCTCCGACCCGTGCGAGTCCCCGCCGCACGACCGCCGTGCCGCAGCGCCGGCTCCAGTGTTTACCTTCCGGGTCGGTGGGCGGGTCCGCGGCGGCGGCGCTCCACTTCCGGGGCGGGGCGGGCGGGGCGGCGCGCTGTCTCCCGGCCTGTCTGGAGCCCCGGCGGCGGCAGTGGCGGCAGTGGCGGCAGCGCGGCGCAGGCACCGGCCCGGGAGCAGCACCATGAGCGGTGAGTGGCGGCCTCGCCGCTGTCACCCGGCCCGGCCGCCCCGGCTCCCGCCGCTCCAGCTGCATACTCCGGCCCCCGAGTCCCCGCGTCCCGCTTGCGGGCCAGCCCCTGTCCCGTCGCTCGCAGACCTCCGTGAACGCCCGGGAGCTGGACCCTGGTCACCTGCACTTCTCCGGCGACCCGAGCCCAGGCACTCCCAGACCCCAGCCTCCTGTCCACCACTTACAGCCAGCTCCCAGACACCTGTCTCCTCACCGCCGGTGTCTCCCAGCGCTCCCACCTCCGTGCCCGGTCCCCACTGTCCCGGTTCTCAGACCCCCGGGTCTCAGTCCCTCCTAACTCCTGGACCCCCCGGTCCCAGCTTCAGCTCCAGGCCCCTCTGCTCCCTGACCATTCGCATTCCCAGGCCCCTTGTGCGCGGGGACTCCAGTCGCCGGGCAGGCAGGGTGTCTTCTCCAGACAGCTTCCTGACCCCTGAGCCCCGAGCCCCCGGGGCTCCCGATCCCCAGAGGACTGTGAGTTCTCCAGCCTCTTTGTCTTCCTCGGCCTCCCATTCCCTTGCGCCCTGTCCCCCGGTGCTTTGCTGTCCGCATCCCTAGTGGTTCCCAGTTACTCTCTTAGTTTTCCTACTGGCCTCTGCTTCTTACATTTTGGTTATTATTATGATTTTTCATACTCCCGCCCCTTTCACTTCTTTCCCTGGCTCATTTGAGGTCTCCCTGGCCCTGTCCTGCACCCCCTTCCCTTCTTGCCCCACACTGAACCCATCTGGGGACCGTCTCGTCGCAGGTCCCAGCCCACCCGCCCCCGCCCGCAGGGAGGGGTGTGGTTTTGGTGGGGAGGCCGGGAGTGGGAGGGAGGTGGGTGTGGACAGCCTGTCCTCAGTGTTTCTGAAGTTGAGTCCCTAGGCTTGGACGCGTATTCTCAGCCCTTCTCTGAGGCGGTCTGTTGGTGTTTTGGTGCTAAGTCATTCCTGGGTGGTGGTGTATGTGGGGAGTGACTTCGGGAAGCCTCTCAGCCCGCCCTGACTGGGATCCGGGTTTTCTTAGGAGGATCCGCCTACCCTCACACTGCCTGTTTTCCTCTCAGCTGTGGAATTGTCTCTCAAGTGTCCCTGCATCCAGCTCTGGTGGCCCTAGCCTTTCACCCAGGCATTTCTGGAGGTTGGGGGTAGGTAGCGAGGAGGTGTCTCTCTTAATGTTTAACTTTTGAGTTATCTCCATGGGTCATACTTTTTACAAGTCATGCGCCTTTTGTTTTGCCCTTCAAGAGCAAGATTTGTGAAGTTGGTCCCAGTGAGGGAGCTGGGAAGGGCGTTCCTTGGAAGATGGACCAGCTTCTGTTGTCAGAGCAAATGGCTTTTGGCCTGATTAAAGTTCCTGGCCCCTGAACATTAGTGATCCATCCCACAGCAAAGAGGTGATGAGCTGGTTTCTACCCAAGAGGTAATACAGGAACCTGGTGTAAGTGCAGGCCCTGGAGCCAGACGCCTGAGTTCAAATCCTGACTCTGCTAGAAAAAGCTGTATGATTTAGAGTAAGTTACTTGGCCATGCTGGAAGTCCCAGCAAAATGGGGGTAGGTAAGAGTACTTGTCACCTAGGCTTGTTGCGATGACTAAATAACTGTAACTGAGGTAAAGTGCTTGGTACTGTGCTTCTGGGGGTGTGTAGGCAGGAACTGAGTGCGGTTGTCGGGGACATCAGGACCCAGCCGAGGTTCGGGTGGGGTGGTTTTCTGACCCAGCGCTGGGACAGGGCTGGGGCTAAGTATGCCTTGAAGATACAGGAGGAGATTGTGCCTCAAATTCTGGACCATTCTCCTGCCTTGGTCCCAGGTGCTAGTGAGATTGACAAGCCAAGGGAAATTGATGATGTAGCTTTCAAAACTAACTTAATATCAAAGATAAGGACGTTTTAAAATTTATTTAAAAAAATCATTACAAAAGGAAACCAACAGATGGCTTTTTAAGGAAAAAGTGTTCAGGATGGATGACAGCCTTCTTTTGGAGAGATTGTAATTGAGGCCGAAAAATGGTTGCTGAGGACGGAAGGGAGTTGGAGGTATTTTCAGTTTTTTTTCCCTCTAGTTTTATTGACAAATAATTGACATCACTGTGTAAGTTTAAGGCATACAGGGTGATTGCCATATATGGTGAAATGATTACCATGATAGGTTCAGCTAACATCTACCTTCTTGGATACAGTAAAAAGAAAAGAAGAAATTTTTTTTCTTCGTGATGAGAACTGTTAGGATTTCCTCTCTTAACTCTTTCCTAGACATCGTACCACTGTGTTGACCTGTTCTACTTGACATTTCTAGTGCTTATGTATCTTATAACTGGAATTTTGTATCTTTTGACCCCCATCCTCCAATTATCCCCTTCACTTTTTTTTTAATGTTTATTTTTGAGAGAGAGAGAGAGAGAGAGAGAGAGCATGAGCAAGGGAGAGACAAAGAGAGATACAATCCGAAGCAGGCTCCAGGCTCTGAGCAGTCAGCACAGAGCCTGATGCAGGGTTTGAGCCCATGAACTGTGAGATGGTGACCTGAGCCAAAGTTGGACCCTTAGCCGACTGAGCAGCCCAGGTGCCCAGCCTCCTTCACATTTCTTGAAAATACAGTTAAAACAGGGTTTTCCCACCCTTGGGATTGATGATGGGGGCACCTTAAAATAATGTTGCATTGAAGTATGTCCTCTCTTTCCTCTGTCCTTTTTTTAAAATAGAAAATTTTAAACATCTCTAAAGTGGAGAGAATAGTCTAATGGGCACTGACCATCTCATGATCACTTCCCCTCTATACCTATTTCTTACCTCTGTCCAAGTTTATTTTGAAGCAAATCCTAGACACTAACCAGATCCTTTCATCTGTAAATATTTTAATATGTATCTCTAAAGTATAGGGACTCTTTTCTTTAAAAACCTAGCTCAATTTCATTGTCATACCTTTAAGAAATGAGCAGCAATTCATTAATATTAGATGCTCAAGGTTAAAATTTCCACGGTTGCCTTATAATTGTATAGTGTTTTTTTTTAGACTCAGGATATAAATAAGGTTTAAACAATGCAAATTGGTGTGTTTTTTAAGTCTTTTAGATCTCTCTCTTTTTTAGTTTGTTATCTTTTTAGTGTTTAGTATATTCACAGAGTTGTGCATGCATCAGCATAATCAGTTTGAGAACATTTTCGTTAGTCCAGAAAGAAACACTCATTCTCCCTCTCCTTAGCTCCAGACAGCCTCTAATCTATGGATTTACCTATTGCGAATATTTCACATAGATTGAATCACGCAATATGTAACCTTTTGTGTCAGACTCTTTTCACTAAGTTATCCTTCTAAGCTCTGCCATATTGTGGCATGGAACTATACTTCATTCCATTTTGTGTTTGAATAATATTTCATTGGATGTTCTCTGTTTTGTTTAGCCAGTTTTCAGTTGACTTGTTGCTGCATTTTGGCCCCTTTAGGAATAATGCTGCTCTGAACATTTATGTCCAAGTTTTTGTATGGGTGTATCTCCAAGTTTTTGTATGGGTGTATCTTTTCATTTCTCTTGGGTGGATATCTAAGAGTAGAATTGCCTGCCCCATTTGAGGAACTATCAGACAGATTTACAAAGTGGCCGCACTATTTTCCATTCCTAGCAGTGCTGCATGAAGGTTCTGGTTTCTTCACATCTTTGCCAACAGCTTTTTGATCATAGCCAATCTGAGTGGGTGTGAAGTGGTATCTTCTTGTGGTTTTGATTTGCATTTCCCTAATGATCAGTGGTGTTGAGCATATTTTCATGTGCTTATTGGCTCTTCGTTTGTATGTTCTTTGGAGAAATGTCTGCTCAGAATCCTTTGTCCATTTTTTTTATTAAATTTTTTTTTACATTTATCTTTGAGAGACATAGAGAGACAGAGCACAAGTAGGGGAGGGGCAGAGAGAGAAGGAGACACAGAATTTGCAGCAGGCTCCAGGCTCTGAGCCATCAGCACAGAGCCCTACGTGTGGCTCAAACTCACAAACTGTGAGATCATGACCTGAGCTGAAGTCAGATGCTCAACCAACTGAGCCACCCAGACGCCCCTCCTTTGTCCATTTTTAAAAAAAAAATTTTTTTTTAATGTTTTTTATTTATTTCTAGGAGAGAGAGAGAGACAGCGTGAGCAGGGGAGGGTCAGAGAGAGAGGGAGTCACAGACTCTGAAACAGGCTCCAGGCTCTGAGCTGGCAGTCAGCACAGAGCCTGACGCGGGGCTCGAACCCACGAACCGCGAGATCATGACCTGAGCGAAAGTCGGACGCTTAACCGACTAAGCCACCCGGGCGCCCCTCCTTTGTCCATTTTTAAATGGGGTTGTTTTTATTGTTGAGCTGTAAGAATTCTATATAGTTTCTGGGTACAAGTCCCTTAGATGTATTATTTATAAGAATTTCTCCCATTTTGTGTATGTGTGTGTTTTAACTTTCTTGATGATATCCTTTGAAGAAAAAAAAATTTTTTTTAGGGGCGCCTGGATGGCTCAGTTGGTTAAGCATCTGACTTTAGCTCAGGTCATGATCTCACAGTTTGTGAGTTTGAGCCCCTGCTTCGGCCTCTGTGCTGACAGCTCAGAGCCAGGAGCCTGCTTTGGATTCTGTGTCTCCCTCTCTCTGCCACTCCCCCACTTGGGCTCTGTGTCTCTCTCAAAAATAAACAATAAAAAATTAAAAAAAATTTTTTGTAAACTAATAGGTTGCCCTTTCATCTCTGTTTTTTTTTTTTTTAATGTTTTTATTTATTTCTGAGAGAGAGAAAGAGAAAGAGGGAGACAGCGTGAGCAGGGGAGGGTTAGAGAGAGAGGGAGACACAGAATCTGAAACAGGCTCCAGGCTCTGAGCTGGCTGTCAGCACAGAGTCTGAGGCGGGGCTCGAACCCACAAACCGTGAGTTGGACGCTTAACCGACTGAGCCACCCAGCCGCCCCTCATCTCTCTGCTTTATCCCTTGCAGTTTTTGATGTAAAATATC